AACATCATGAGATGTTTTTGACTAAGTCACATGTAGTAGGAAATGTTCATCATAGTGATTCAAGAATGGCTCAGCTGTCGCTCCAAATCTAATTCTCCCCCACTGAGGTGTTGATACTCCTCCGCTGACACGGCGGGCTCCACTCTCCACATTAATGCTTTAAAGTTGAAGGCAGTTTATCATGGCGTGTATGGAGCAGCCCACCCTGAAGAGGCAGGGCCACTCACATCTTTTATCATCTCCAACAGCTCAAACAGTCTGATTCTTTAAAGAGCTCATCTTGAAAATAGGCCGTGAGTCAGGCGCTTATGGAGAACCCGCGCAATTAACGTCAGGTGATGTGGATTCATCAAAGGGAGGTGAAATGAGGAAGGTTCATAGGCCAAAGAGACCGAGACAAGAAAAGAAAACAGAACAATGAGAAACAGACCGTGGTGATTATACATATGATGAGTTTATTCAGAGCCAAAGTACGAGCCGTAGTCCAAGGAAAACAGCAACTGCCTGATGCAAAAAAGAAAACAGCAATGTCCCCAAACTGCCTGACGCAACAATGAGATATTGAATTTTCTGATATTATCTTCCTTTTTTAATATATGTCTTTTCCACCTAACATTATGTTTTCCACATTTCACATGTATGAGGTTTTAACATGACGTTGGTGTGCTGTATTCAACACTAAACCAGGTCCTGGAAGGGAAAAACAACACTTCTAATATTTCTACAATATTCATGTTTTCATATTTTAAAATAGTTTATATCTATTTATTTCTATTTTATAGTAGCTCCCAAGCCAAAAAACCGTGGACACCCTGCTCTAAATTATTTAAAAAAAAAAAGTTATTTTATAGTAGCTCCCAAGCCAAAAAAACGTGGACACCCTGCTCTAAATTTTTTTTTTTTTAAAAAAGTGTTTTGCCATTTTAATTGTTAGTGTCTGTTTTCTGTTTTATTCAGGTGTTTGTAAAGGCACTCTTTGACTATGACCCTAAAGAGGACAGTGCTATTCCATGTAAGGAGGCTGGACTGGCCTTTAAGAAGGGCTCTATTCTTCACATCATGAGCCAAGATGATGCAACGTGGTGGCAGGCCAAAATTGAAGGTGATGCTAGCCCCCGAGCTGGCTTAGTCCCATCCAAACAGTTCCAGGAGAGGTAAGAAACAACTCCAACCGCGCCAATCTGCTTTGCTTTTCAACAACGTGGGTTTGAATGTCGAGGGTTTTTTTTTTTTGTCCCTCTTTTAGCCGCATTTTTCTTTCTCCTCTCATGCCAAAATAGTCTGGATTTCCGCACAGTGTCTGTCCTGAAATGAGTAATGACAGAAAATCATGGTGCTGGTGCTGATCCACTTTGGACAGCGGCGCTGATGGAAAATTGCACATCCCTGAGCGCTCAGATGGTTCACTTGATGTGCATCACAGAGCACAGGAACAGTTGGAACAGTTGGCATCATCCGAGATCCGACATGCACGCGAAAAAAGCAGTGGAATGAAGGCATTTTAGAATGATTAAAATCCAATAACTGCCTGCCACCTCACATCCTCCCATCTTTTTTTTTTAACCCAGTGAAGGACTCGCTTTGTTTATTGTGGTGGAGTGTTTCATGGTGCGTTTAGCAGACGTGTCTTCTCCCATCTTTTGTTCTTATTGTCTCTCTAACCCTCTTTTTTTCTTCCACCAGGAGATTTGCTATGAGGAGACCTGTTGCAACTCTGCAGTTCCACAGGGCATCAAGCAAGAGATCATGTAAGCAACGACCTGCTGTCACACTCTGGCAACTATTCACTGACATCAGTGGCTGATTATAATAATAATAATAATAATAATAATAATAATAATACAAAAAATAGAAAAGTTAAGGATAACAAAAACATGGTTGATTTCAGCTTCCCTCTGCATTATTTCCACTACTTCCCACTGATATCCTTAGTTTTAATTTCTTGATGTGATGTCTGTAAGCTGGGAGGTTAACTGTGAAGAAGGAAGTCTGAATTCGGAAAAACTAACATCTAATGATTTACACCTCCCAGTCAAAACACCAGCCATCTTCCCTCTCCGGCTCCCCTCTTCACATTTCAGAGAGCGTAATGACAACTTAATGAACTGATAATAGACGTAGAGTGGGGCCACACTGCACTGTGAATCTCATCTATGCCGTGGACCGTGTAAGCCTGTCGAGTCACATTCACCTTTTTACTACATTTGAGCCAAGGTACATGAACCCCCCGCAGTGTTAAGTACTCTATGTATACGTTGGAGTCAGATATAGATACTAGATTCTAGTTTTTGGGCTAAGTATTAAAAAATATTTAGATTTTGTTTTTTCACTCGATTCGGCGGACATCACCAGCACAGCTGCAAAAAATGAGTTAACCTTGAGTAGGATTTATTATTAGAAGGTAATTACAAACATTTGGGGCTTTAAACGAGTATTAGCGTCACGTTTAAAACGAACCAAGGCCACTCGAATTCAGAATTTATTGCTCTGCCGGTAATAGATTCGATTTCAAAAGGCTCAACTGAAATGCCAACTGGATTGTCACATAGTCCTCAGTGAAATTCAATTAGGCAACTCGAGAAAGCTTCAGCGTCCACACTGACAGGCACATTATGAACAATATTTGAACATTGTCAACAGATTCCCTGTCCTCAGCCGCAGAGCCAGGAGGAAAAAAAGTCCAACTTGTATTCAGTAGGGATCAGCGTGGCAAACATTTCAGCCACTGAAATGTGCAAAGTGCTTGAATCACTTTTGACATTTCAGGCTAAAATTAGCGAAGATTCCACTTCAGTAAACCGACTCGATGTTCCTGCTGTTTATGCCCAGTTTCCATTACACCTGACCAAAATCTCCTCCACGGAAATGCAGGTTGAAAATGACAAACACAATTATTATTCAGCAACAACTGCTTAGCCTTCGGGGCGAAAACAACGGGCCTTTGGAAAGTCGCTGTGACTGCAGTACTGTTTGCCTGCTTTAAAGAGAAACTCATAAATACAGGGGTTACGGGGTTCCTCCTTTAGAGCATCAGCATTGGCCACTACAAATAACACCTCTGTCTCAGTAGATATAATTCATATAACCCTACCCTCAACAGTAAATCATTTCTTTGTCTGTTGTGTTCCCCCCGTACAAACTTCCCAGAACTATTTTGTTGTATCCTTCTTATTCATACATTTCAATTCCTTTAAGTTTCAGGCAGTCTCCTGTACAGTGTTTGTTTCTGTCCTTTCTCTCTGGCTTTGTAAACCTTAACAATAGTAATAATAATATTAACAAGGTTCCTTGTCCGCAGTACAGTAGAACCTGGGTCAAATCCACCGTTTGTTTCCCAACCTGGTCTGGGAGGGTTTAAGACAAGATTAATATGACAGAACTACTCTGTCCGCCTCTAAACATACTGTATTATTGTATTAATTTTTTACTACAAATTTAAACAGTGTTATAAATGTTTTTATTTCCTGCTCATGTTCAACCACACATTGGCAAACATGAGGTCAAAGAACCATACATGAGCAGATTAATTGTTTTAAATAGACGGGCTTGTAATGTTTTCTTATTGTTCGGTTTGCTCGTTAGCACAGGCTAGGTGATAATATGCAGTACAGACCACTGCAGAGTTAGTCTGCGTTGGAGTTGAGGCAGTGATTTTTATCAAATGTGCTCGGAGGTTTTAGAAACACCCTGGTGTTGACAATCCCACCATGTGTGGATTAACTGGGGAGCAACAGCAGGTCCATGAATGTCCTCACTGAGGCGAACACACATTTGGACTAAATAACCAGGAGAATACTGTTGGATCCGGCTGAAGTTAAAGCAACAGGCCGGGAACAGCAACCTTAGCTCCAGACTGCAAAGCAGTTGCAAAAATGCGGTAACAAAATATTTTTGATGGCCTACGGGAGAATAGATGGAGAGAGATTGAAGCGAGGGGTCATTTCCAGTAGCAGATGTGGACCTGTGGAACTGTGGCGGCTGAGTCAAGATTCAAGGTTTGGATCCTGGCCTCGTAGATGCCGGCCCAGTCGAGGCCCGGGGGCCATAAACTACAACCTAATTGAAGGATGCCGTGGAGACCCCTGTGTTACCAAGTGCAGAAAAGCCATGGTGATTGAGGAGGGGTTCTATTCTCTTTCTCTCTTTCTCTCCCTTTTCCAGTCCAGGAGCTTCATCGGCTGGAACAATATTGGTCTTGGCGAACACGGACTAAGCGTGTCCGTTTACACCTAACATTTGTGAGATATAAATAATCCCTTTCTTGAATGCAGCTTTTGCCACTTTTGCTGAAGCATTCCTACGTCGTGAAACTGATGTTTAAAGTGCAGTTTATGCCAGCGTGTACAGTCATCCTCATGATTTCTTTTCCCTAAATTTTCCATCACTGATAAAGTGGCTCCGCTCCAGCTTCCCCATCTGCTCTCCTCTGAACATCCTGATGGCTCTCTGGCCTTTGCGTACATCTCGTCTGTTCCCTTGTCTGACATGCGAACTTCTCCACTGTGTGATTATTTAGCTTGGTTTGCAGGATGCCAAACACGTGGACACACTTATCGCCGATCTCGGGGTCTCATTATTCTATTTTCAGTTCATCACAGCAGCGTCCGCTCCAAAGGTTCGCTCCCTCTCTCCCTTCATGGGTTAGTGAAATGGCACCTACGGTTGGACGTAACCTGCCCTGCGTTCAATTAAGTTGTCGATTCCATTTTGAGAGGTCAGGGCCAGGCAACCCTGAAGAGATGGTCGTGATCCTCAACAGTTTGTAGCTGTAATTTTTTCCTCTGTCCATACGGTCAATACTGTCACATTTTGTGATTTATAACGACAGCCTTGTAATGCAGACCAGTTCTGCTTTGTCTTTTACTCATTCCCCGATCTTGACATCTAGTAATCAGCACTGCATTAAAAGGCCAAAAGATTTGTGGCAAAGATCGTGTTCTGCAGCAACTGGAAAAAAGAAACCCCATCAGTCTCGTTTTGATTCCTAAAAAAAGAATATGAGAGATGTAGATAGCGAGCAGACAGAAAGTGTCAGTTCCCAAAAGGAAAGGGCCGGCCAGTTTCACGGATGACATCAGCCTCTTCATTAGTCCATTTATAGAGAGCTGACTTGGAAGCGTTCCTCTGTCTGTTCCTTTTATTTTCATGGCGGTCTCAGTGCGGTAAAGCTCTGCTAGATGTTTGACTTTGCCTGGTACCATGAGTAAGGCCCATATCCACGTATAAAACAATGGGTTCTAATAAAAATAAATGACAATTACAATATCATGCGATTGTAATCGTATAGCCCAGTCTAAATTTGTCGATTTTAGGAACCACAGCAATGAAGAAAATTGGGTGATTACCAACTCTAAAGACTATTTTAGCCTTTAAATATTTAGACTGGCTGACATTTCCAGGTCTGAGTAAATGCCCTTTTTCCAATTATCCAAATATCTACAGTACAAGTTGTACAATTGTTGTTTTTGTGTGTGTGTGTGTGTACAATGTCAAAAATCATTAGTTTACTGTCTAGAAGTAGAATGAGTACATGCATGGCCTCATCTTGTTGTCGTCTGAGCAGCTGGGTGCAGAGTTTTACATACGATCTTTGCTCATGAAAGAATTCCGAGACAGAAGGACCGCTGCTGATTTTCAAATTCCACTGCGTTATCTCGGAGTGTTCCGTTAGCGCAGGAATGTCAGTGTACAGAGCTACAAAGCAATATTACCCATTCCTAAAGGCAGATAGACACTAGATGAAAGCCCTCTGAAGGTGAAAAGAGGGAAGCACTTTTCGAAGCAGTTCAGATAGCATCGTCCATGTCATTCTTTTCTTTTGTCCCCGTCCAATTACAGAATACGTGCAGGTTCTAATCTCACTGTCACATTTCAATAATACAAGGGCAGTTCAAACATTGCTGCGTGAACATTATAATGTGAAACAGGTAGTCAGATAAAGTCGAACACGTTCGTCCCCACATCTCAGAACGATCACGGCTCTAAGGCAAGTCTGTCTGCTGTTTGGGCTCGCCGTTATAGTGACCTCCCCACTAGGTTGCAGTGAAGTGTAGAAAACGAACGTTGTGCTTTATAGTCAATAATGTGTTTTAATTTAGGTTTGGCCCAAATAGGTATAGGTACTGGGAAGGAGGTGTTCCTGAATCATTCCAAAGTATGTCTAGTATCTTACTTTTATCAATGCCTGTCTTTCTATTATTCACTAAATTGACGTCAGGTGACATTTTTTTTGTCAAAATAGTCTTTGAAATGTCCATATTTACCAAAATTGTCTTTTTAAAATTTGATTTTCCTCCGTCCAAAGCTTTACAGGATGCATCACAGACATGCACCACAGACACTGTCTCAATAGGTAACAATGTCAACGTGGGAATAGTGAACATACTGTATTACTGCCCTCCGTCGTCTTCATCACCTCGTGTGTTTTGTGCAACTGTCTTCATACTGTTTGTGTCCCGACCTGCTCTGATGACCATTAGCTGTGGCTGAAACAAATAATAGCTAGAATTCAGAATGCTAGTATCTAGCCCTTGAGCTGTTATGTTTACCTGTCTTTTAGTGTGGAAATTATGTTCAACGTTGTAGTTCAGTTGTAGACGCCTCACAGTTAAGGGCAGTGCTTCACTTTAAATAACTGTTCTTTTCTGTGTGTCTTTTTTTTCTTTCTTTCCGTCTCGTCTAAGATGATGTGACTTTCGAGTTTGGTAGGTTCCTTCTTCTTGTTCTCCCAACCTTAACTTCCTGTCTG